GAAATTAAAAACATGCTCATATACACATTTTTCAAAAATTTTAGCGTCTATACTCAGAAGTGAAACAGGTCTATAATTTTCACACTCCGTTGGGTCACCTTTTTTCAAAATAGCTATTACATTGGCCGTTTTCCAAATAGAGGGTACTGTATTAGAAGATAAAGATAAGTTAAATTTCAAACATGATAGACTTTAAACGTTTTCCATTGATTTTATCTGGTCCAATAGCTTTGAATGCGTTCTTCTACTGCAAAGTCCACATTCCAAGATTTATCAGGAACAATAATGTATTTAATTTTATTTTGATCTATGTTTTTTAAATGAAATGAATTGGGGTTTAACGTCCTACAGTTCTGTCTCGATTGGCCTAATGAAGATGGGCATACGCCATACAGTGTGCCATGAGGGAAATTTTGCCAAGACAGCGGCGCTACGGCCAACTCGTATATCGCATTCAAACTACCAATTGACCTTTTACGTGTACGCCAATGTGTACACGGTTTTAATCCCATCCGAACGACTAGACAGCTGTCCTTGTCAGGCCCTCCGTCCTGCCGGAAAATCTCGATGAACTTTCTCCGCCAACACCGGGATCGAATCCGCGACCCCCCAGGATAGAGCCAGCGTCTTACTCACCTAGCCACCATGGCCCCGATCAATGTTTCTAATTCCGAACTATGTCGATTGCACATAACACACCATTATTATGTATATTCCATTCCCAATATAGAAGGACACGAGATTCCATACTTTTTAACTAGCGGGAAGGTTTTTCAATCGATAAAGGCACCCTTTTTCATAAAACAATTTTTAAGGGAGCTGAAAAGGACATTAAAAAGAAGGTGGGTTGTTTGTTTTCTAAATGTCAAAAGAGTTAGTGTTGAAAAGAACAATATTTTGCGAAAGTAAATGTTGAGTGTAGTCGGTTACAATATGAGGCCACCGATACCATGCAGATTAATCATCCTCTTTATTCGGCCCAAAAACGTAATTTTATCCGAAAATTTGATGTCTAATATACATAGAAAAAGATCACAATAAATTCGGTAACTTGTGTGACAGAAATCGGGACCCGAGGTGGCTCAGTGAATAAGACGTTGGCTGACTAACCAGGATGTCTCGGGTTCGCTCTCGGAGTTAGTCGAGAAAGTTCCTCGGGATTTCACGGCACTGTTTCCCATTGCCAATAGAACAGGACGAAGGGTCTGGCACGAAACGTTGCCTCGTCTATCGGGTGGAATGTACACATTTTTTCTGCATGTAAAAGATTCCTTGACGGTTGTAATTCCATTGCCATATGCCAAAGAAACCACCAACCATCGTCGTTTTCATTGTTTTCTGAATACGCGCCACGCCAAAGGTCATTTATTTTAAATATTCGCCAAATTTATTGGTAAAATCAATATTTTAGGGAAATGCATGGTGTATTTTTGACAATAATTTATCTATTTGAGAATCTTATCAAATCATGAACGTATTGACCGGATGATTTTGCATTGAGCAGAGTTAACTGAACCTTTACTAAAATGAATTCCCCAAATGGACGTGTTTGTACCTCCTGATCATTCTGCCTCAAATTCATTATTTTTTGCCAAAACGAGACATAAAATGTAACTTCAAATCCCTTTCATACATTCTAGACTAAAAAATAATCAGTATTAGGCATGTAAAACGTTTACAAAAAAAGGATACGGATTTATCTTTATGAATAACTCGCACTGCCCAAATTGTAGTTGGACTCCATCATAATGGTAAGCTTTTCCAGAAATATTTGATTTCAAGGTTACTTGTGGGTCTTACTTTATTATTTGGCCAATTAAAAGACGGTATCTGTCATTAAAGGGAATTACTCGGAGGCTTACACGACGATAGAGAGAGAAATGGGGTTTAACGTCCACTCGACACAAACTAGGTCATTTCGGGACTAACATGTTGCTCTTTTTTTTCAATAATTCGCTTGCGCGTAGGGGTCTTTAGCAGTGGTAGAAAACCGGAGGACGTGGAGAAAACCCACGAGGATGGACAGGTGACCCTACTCCTTGTCACGTACAACTGGAGAATCGAAACCACGTCAGTTGACTCAATGACAGGCCTAATGATACAACACACACGCGCTAACCATTTGGCCACCCAGCCCCACTCAGTTATTAGTATTTAGGTACCTATCGGGCAGTACAACCCGATCAAGAAAATGGAACAAGAGGACGACCAGCGTCAGGACTGGTAAAAGCCTGTAGATCCCGTCACAGTAAAAGCAGAACGGAAGCTGGCAATCGTGATTTCCACCATCTCATTCCGTCCAATCAGTCTTTTTTTATGGTTGAGAGAATTCATGTGTGGTGCGTTTACCTGATCGTAAAACATGTATCTCACTTGTTATCCTCATGATTATATTATTGAAGGTGGAGGCTATCTCGCAAACGTGATTTACATTTATAAAAATCTACATGTAGAAGAGAGTTCAACGCCCTAATCGCCCACTTACGGAACATTCTGGCGTATAGTTGTTTGGTTCAAATCAGTGTTATGTTTATTTTTTTAAGCTTAATGCTACACGTATCGTGGTCTCGCTTAAATGAACTAAACCTCTATTCTTTGGAAACACAAAATGGACAAAATTGAGTCGAAAGGCACATATTAATGTAATATGAATGTATATTAGCTGATTTATATTCATTTTGTAAAGTTTTCGTTATAATTTCTAATCAGTTATGTTTGTCGAAATACGTGAGCTGTCCAAATTGAATGCCTGGTTAGTCCATTTTTCATCGGTAGTACGATTTGACGTTTCACTTCGATACTAATTTATGGAATATGTCCTGCCTCATTACAAAATGTTAACACCGTATCTTAATCAGGAGCTCGTATTTCCACCGAAAGATAGCATCATCAATATTGATTGAAATGGACCAGTATTAAATTCTATTTCGCGTTTTGATATCGAAAATTATGGATATTATTGAGTTTTAGCTCCTTTAATGGTAAACACAAGAAAACGATAGTATTGTTGGGTGACATTAAGCAATTGGACACTAATGACGCCGTAAATGTGCATTACGTAGTTGTTATGGTAATGCTTGGCAGTAAACGGCTATTCATCATTATTATTAGGCATATGATTAGTTTTATTAAAACAATGATGAATAGCATTTATGTTTTCTATTAATGGACTGTTTATTAATCAGCTACTTGGAAACATGGATCTCTATGTTCTGTGGTAGATAAAGACATGTCTTTATGATTCAATCTTAGATGGACCTACAGATGGCTGGAAGATATGAGAAATCTTTTAACTGGATATTTGTTAGTCAATCTGTTATAAAACGACCGGAAGACATTATGACATGTACGTATAAAATATAAATAACAATATTGTGCAATTTTTTGGAAATACAATGAAATTGGCTGATTTTAGACTGGCTTTAGTGGTTGTAATCCATAATAGAGATTTACCAAGTACAACTTATAAGGAATACAGAAGAAGAAAGACCGTGAGTGACCCGTATAGTTGGTCATTAAGTTGTATTTCATTGTGGTCAGTTGCCATGCACTAATGTAACTTTGATAGAAATACTGGCAACACTTCCTCTAAATTGCTTTTATATATCTGAGCAATTTGACTAGAGGCGATAAACATTGTTCACGGAAATTACATTTTAATCAGTCTTCTTTTTGCAAATAATGAAACGATATCGGATCTTAAAATATCATTAAGTTTGTTTTTAACAGGCAGATTTTTCTTCAGCCTAGGGCATCAGTTATTCTTAAGACGACCATGATACTATAAGCTTGTCATACACGAGTGTCGGTTTAATATGACTTTCTTGATGAAGTCTGGAATCCCGTTGGACAGTTTTGTGTGTTTCTGTTATCCAAAATAAATTTAAACTTGATTAATCGCTGTTAGCTCTGGAAAATTCGCGGAAATATAACTTTTACTGCCAAGAAGACCGACTCATACGAGGTTAGAATATAACAGCAAAGTTAGCCCGGGATAGAGCAATTATATGTATAATCTTTCAAAGATTAAACCATTTGTCTTGCCAGTTAATTTCAATAATTTACTAAGTGTCTGCAAAAACAGGTACACGTTAAGGTCTGCAGATAAGCATTCTCTTTTAATTAACTATTTATGGCAATCATCAGCGCATCAGATATAGTTGTGAGTGTACCTGATAAAAAGCTATTTTAGTTAAATGAAGTATTAACAAAATGTTCTTTGTTCCTTAAATGTCAAAGCAATCTAGAGGGTTTTTTTTAGCACATTAGTTTTGTATTCGCCGCAGTCCTCCTGTGAAATTGTCTGTGCACGAACTTTCTCTATTTGCCACCAATAATGCACGGTCTAATGCTCGTAATTACATACGAATATATTTATTAGAATTCAAATCAATATTATTGTAACAATTATATTCAACATTGTATACCGGTTTCAAATATTAAGCGACAGTGTGTAGTTGAATCGTTTTTCTTTATTTGTTATTTACAAATAATGAGATGACTAGCCTCGTTATTGGCGAATAACGAGAGACACGCTGTCTCGTTATTCGTTATTCAACGTTATTCAATTGAAGCCAGACATCACTAGAATGATAGATGCCAAGTATCCCCAAGTAGCATAACACGCAGAAAAACGACTTCTAGCCAAAAACCAATCCACATATGAAGGTGTTCAGATATCTTTAATGAGGATATTTTAGATTTAAGTCCACATACATCAGGGTATAGTAGTCTTAAAAGTTCAGATTTAGACATTTTGATTAAACACTTGAAATATTCGAAACGTCCAGCGCTAAATCTTATGGGGTCATCAGCTGGTATTTGAGGTTGGAATCATTTTAGCTCTCGGAGACTTTTAAATATTTATTAATTTTGAATGAAAAACTGGTGTATCAACACTTAGGTTCTATGTTCTATTTCAGACCAGTTTTAATCAGCCTGGATGCAGCGGAAGAGTACGACGTTAGGCCCTTATTCATTTCGTTTTATTTCTATTTCAGATGAGGTTATGGACGCGAAGAATCTAAGAATCTCCATACAATGATAAGTTACTACAACAACACCACCACAATGGCCGTACCCATCTACCAATCAGACGGCTCAATTATAGGCCTTGACATGGAGCGACTGACAGTCCAAATCGTATTAGAGCTATTAACTCTCGGAATACTGTGGTTACTTTCTGTGATAGGAAACATCCTTGTATGTGTTGTGATATACCGTAGCAGACGGATGCAATCAACGACAAACTATTTCGTCGTTTCTTTAGCCGGAGCCGACCTTGCTATCGCCTTTGTTTGTGTGCCTTTTATAGCGTCTCGTGTCTCGACTAATAATTGGATGGTTGGTCAACTAGTTTGTAAGCTCGTCCGATTTTTTCAGTATTTAGTGCCTTGCATAAATATGTATGTCCTCGTCGCCATCTGCATCGATAGATTCTATACAATTATATATCCACTCAGCTTTAAAGTGACACGGGGAACAGCTAAACGTCTCATTGCTTTTAGTTGGGTTTTTGCTTCCGTTTTATGTTTTTTTAATTTTTACTTCTTTGACGTACTTCCATCACCGACGCGTAGTGATACAGGTATTTGTCCCACGTATATACCAGTAAGTGATTGGCCTGGAATAGTGTACACCTTGTGTGTAGTGATATTTCAGTATTTCACGCCTCTAGTGATCTTAGCTGTCGGTTATACTCGAGTCTTTAAATATATTTGGAAAGCTGGATGGGGACCACGGCCCATTCAGAGAACTATGAATGCTGTGCCGAGGACTAAAGTCAAAATGGTGAAAATGTTGATCGTTGTGACGTACTCTTCCGTTCTTTGTTACGCGCCATTTTATGTTGTTCAGTTGTGGTTCTGTTTCGACCCACACTCTTTGTACGACCCAACAGTATTCATATTTACAGCCTGGTTAGTTCTAAGTACAGGAGTTGCTAAACCGTTTATTTATCTGTGTTACAATTCGAACTTCAGAAGAGGATGCAAAGAAGTGTTCTGTATGTCTACCATGAAGTGCTACCGTAGTAATACTTACGCTATCACAAACGCTAGCCTTATTAGTAAAAAGAACCACGTTGGTATCATGGATGCTGGAATAACAGATCTGGGTACCAGGTCGCCCGATTCCCCAACTCGGGCTTTTAATCGTGCTCCTCTAGTCGAAAAAAGTGCCTGGCCGTTGTCTGGAACCATGCCTTCAACATATCTTTAATGAAATTTAGACAATAGTAATGCTTACAATTCATATACATGTATTTAGAATAAGGCACCGTCGCAAAATTTCAACACTACACCCAATCGAATAACCCACGGAAATTGGTGCGTGGGTTGAACCCACCGAGGGTATGAAATGAAGAATTAAATGTCGGTTATTTAATATTGAATATGAATGAAAATATGTAAACATTTTCTCACTGCGTCGGCGCGGATGGGCAGGTGGGTGGGTGAATCGTGACCTATCCATGGGATATTCGTTTGGACTCAAGTGTTCACATTTTTGCGATGGCTCCTAACAGAGTTGGGTTTATATCTGTTCTTGGTTAAATATGTTCCTGCTATCAATGATGCTTTTAAAATATTGTATTTGATACGAATGCAAATCTTGTTCTAAGTGATTTTATCAAGCCCCTATCAAGGGGTGGTTGCAAACATGCCACGCGCAAAGCAGATCAATGAGTCCAATTCAATCGTACTGACGAAAACGACATTTAATTATTTCTACTTATATAACAATAGACGAATTATTTATATCGGCTCACCCAATTCCTTAGCCTTATTTGTATTTCGATTTATGTTATACCCTTTGGTCTAGAATCGAAATATATTTGCATATACACATCATGGTTTTGGTGAACATTACTGACGTCACATTCTATAGCTTACTTCGACCTGCCAAAATAAATAAAATCGATATGATCAAACCACTTTCAGATTTCTTTTTATATTCACACATTTTCATGTGGACGTATTATATGTCGTCAACTCTGTCCGTCCGTTCACATTAATTTTTGTTTCTGCACAATCGATCTACAGGTCGCAATTTTGATCGGATTTTGATGCATCCACGGTATCCCCAGTGCCATCCTTCCGTTCGGCTCCATTGACCCCTTGGTCTATTCACGGGTTTTCGTTGATTCAAATTATCTGCCCTTAATGAATTTATTGGCCACATAGGTTGATCCTACAAACCAATCAAAACGGTTTACATACCAGGCTTGGCGTCATTGTTCACACCAAACAAAAGCTCGATTAGGAGTAGGGTTGCAAGAAATTTAATAATTTGACAAAGTTTGCAACACCGATTCGGCGATCTTAGTCCCAATAAATTGCGATTTACTTCCCTACGCTCACTGGAGAACTTTATGATTGGTTGATAAAAATAGCACAATTATCTAGGGCGAATAATTTAACTATGTGGCTCTCCTGTGAATGGACCAAGGGATTAGTGGTCCATAGTAGAGTAGAACGGAACGATTCCACTGGGGATACCGAGGATGATTTTGATGAAATATTTGTTTATACCCCAAAGATCTCGGTTACTTTCAATATTGGCGTAACTTCCTGGATTATGACCCATGGTTGTACGACAAATCGTCTTTTTAGCCTGTGGTCACTCTAAAGGTCACAATTTTTAATAGATTTTAAAACCCGTTCATATATTTCACCGTAAAACCATGATTATGGTTTTGTTCGAGCTTCGTGAAAACCGAACGGAAGCTTCTCTTCAAAAGGGACCTCCCCTTTACACAAATAGTGTTAACGCATGTAATACGTATACCAAGGTTATGGACCCTAAAATTTGAATTCCGACAAAACTTGAACACATATGGTGCGCATCAAAACTCAACTTATAGTTTTTACAGCCTTGGTTCTTCACACACATTGAATATTTAAGAAATAGATATACACTTGTATTACGCAACTATGGAAGCCTCATCTGAGGGTCATATCATGTATATCCATAGTGAGTTAGATTTGAATACACTTGTAATACACAGTAGACTGGTGAATATATTCCCTAAAACTATGCAATAGCCACCAATTATGACACTATTTCTAAAACTGAGAATTTGTCATCATATGTATGACATATTAAATTATAACAGTAAATCTTGAATCAGTGAGCCATTGATTTACCTCGTTCTTCATACCACCCCCTCCTCCCCCCAACCTTGGAAACTACCAATTTTCCAGTGGTTACACCTAAAATAAATAGAATCAAGTTCAATGTTTATAATCAGAAACTATCTGTAACAATTGTTTATATATTTGTTGTCTTCTTTCCGTATGTCTGTTTTCCAGTCGGCTTTCAATACCATTCCACCGTTCTGTTAACTCCGCCATCTTGGAAACGTATAAAGCTCTACAAGAAGAAAAACTTACTCATTATTCAGAACATGTCTAAAATAATAAATTACGTTATGGTCGAAAATACCTGATATTTGGTGATGGTATTATTGCACCAATGCAAAGTAAATAGTGCCGGAACATGACCCAAATGTGACGCCCCATTTCAGAAATTAATTGAACTTTGTTCAAATCGATATTTAGTCACATTTTCTGATATTTATATGAATGCAATTTTTAAAGATAATCCCATAGAAACTGCATCCTCAATTACCTTTACAATGTCTTCGGCAAGGGGGGGGGGGGTAAATCCCGAAAGGTAAAGGTATGTCTTTGAATGCTGTATAGCGGCACGTTCTCGCATGACCACAATGCTTCACACCATATTTGAAAACAAATCCGTAAAAAACACTCTGACCTCTATCGCGTACACGGGGCGGGGGTGGGGTGGGCAATAACTCTGGAACAGAAAGTCGCGGAACGCTGAATATCGATAGGGATTATCCATTCATGTCCCCGGTGCCTCTCACAAATTTTAAAACTACGATCCGTTAAAAATGTGGCCTAGGTCGCGTTCAAAGGTTTCGGAAAAGGGGGCATAACTTTAGAATGAAAGGTCGTGGAATGTTGACTATCGAGTTAATTCGTCCCCTCATAACTACATTGCTTCCCACCAAAATCTATAGCCTATATCGCGTTCACAAGCAAATTATTGATGGACGGACCGATTGATTCAGCCACACAGAAATGTGGGCATATAAAAATCAATCACATCCCTATATACGTTATAGTGTATTTTCCATAGTGAACTACCGTCTTACACCCCAACTAATAAACTCCCATGAACATAAGAATCTGAGTATAGTGGGTACATTTTTTTTTAAATTCTAGCACTTACTTTCTTTTCTCGGAATTCTCTTTCCTCAAATTCAAATCACACTGTCTTTGCTTAAATTCTAAATCCCTCTGTCTCTGTTCTTCCTCTTCATTCGATGATAAAAGATTGAAATCATCATCGTCGTCGTCTTCATAATCCTTGAATATTTCACGTATACTCTTATATCGATCAACAGCATTTTCTGTATCCCGTCTATCGAGTTTTGTAATCTCCTCCTTTTCCTCTTCTAAATCATCGCCAACTGGCATAATGTCTGTGGTATCTTCGTTTAAAACAAGCGGTGAAGTTTCTCTACGGGCTTTCCGTGAAACATTAACTGATTCACAACTTTGAATTTTCATATCGGGGGAATCTAAACTCGATTCGCGAGATGTTGCGAGTTGAATACCTATTAGGTCGTGAGTTTCACTCACATTTAAATTATAAACAATGTCGGTAACATCCACCGCAGCGTCATTTAAACAGGAAGACAGACTAACACAACGGTCCGTGACTTGGGGTGCACTGGCATCATCGTCATTATCCAAGTGTATAATTTCCAGATTGTTTGTAATAGGAGGAAGTTTTGGATAGGAGTCAAAACTCGACATTTTTAACATCGAAGATAGGGTCAGTGCTAATCGTTGAAAACAGGGATATATTCCACTGAATTATTGTGGTCGTGACAATGCTGCTTTCCACGTTGTTGTTGTAATCAAAGAATTTCCAGTAACACCAGAATCTAAGAGGCGGTTCTTGTACAAGTCTTCCCCCACTTTACATGTATATGAGTTAAGGCGTCATAACGGCCACAAAATCATTAATGTCGTTTTCCACTCGAGTAAAACTAAATGTGGAAATCGTTAAAGAAATTCTGGAAGGAAACCACACCTATTGAACATTGACGGTAATGATTGTAAATATATAATGGTGACTGAAAAACTATGATTGGTTAGTATATGACCATCAATAATCCTCTTTACACAGACTTATGAAACAAGCTTCTTATTTTAACAGTAAATTGTAGGGCATACATGTACTTATAGATCTTGAATACAAACTGTTTACTAGATAATACCCTTACTAATACCCTCATTAGAGAATGATATAATAGGCATGTTACTAGGCGAAATAATTCAACGTCATTACACCTAATAAAATCCCGGGAATTTTCTCGGTCAACACCCTTGATTAGCGAGCCATTGTCTTTTTTTATCTTGTAAAATTTTACTATTACAATTAACATTTTACAGGCAGGGAATGGTACAATAAATAAGGTAAATTAAAAAAAGGTGTTAAAAAGAAAGGTACTATTTCATTGTAATTCAAATTGAAACTCAAGTAAATTTTTTAAAGTGCGTTACCTCCAGAAGGAAAGTAATAAAAAGCTATTTAAAGAAGATCTAATCGACTATGAGCGTTCTGGGGAAACCTGCTCTCGAAGGTCGAAAAGCTTCAAAGTTTCGAGATAATCCTGGTTATCCCCCTTTTCTAATAGAAAATAATCATACGTATGATCATTTTACAGTTTATATACATTTACAAGTCAACAGTTATTTTGCCGTCCAATTCATAGCATATACATAGAGATGGTAAAATGAAAGTTTGAGTAAAATTCATCCGATTGTTATCGCAATACTTACTTACTGTATTTAAAGTATATTTCAATACTGTCTTGAATAGTTTAACAATATCAACCTCTATATTATTATCTAGGGACTTTATCCTACGTTTATAGATAGGAAATCAAATTACAAAGGTCATTAGGATGGGATTTGGTGTTAGACTGAAGTCCCAGTAATAAGAAAGTGTTAAAATCAGGATCACATAACTTATATGGTAATAAATCATTAATAAATTCTTTGATTCTTGACTTAAAATAACGCAAATCTAAACATTCAATAAATAAATGCTGTAAATCTTCAATCTCATCCTTACATATAGGACACAAATCATCATCGGTTTTACCAATTCTATCCAATTTGGACATTGTCCATATTATGTTGTGGGCTATTTTATAATCCAATTCGACCATTTAAGGATCTTTAAAACACAGAAAGACATTTCTCCAGACACTTTCCCAGTGGACGTGCATTTTGCCAGGAATCTTTAAAAATGGGATGTGAGGTGGGGGGGGGGCTCAAGAACTCACGTCGATGGGGCTCTCAAGGACCCACGTCTATGGTTCACCCCTTCATTGCATTCCCGCTCCCGATTAACACAGATCTGCTCATCGCTTAACCCAAACCTAACATAAGTTCCTATATTTTCGTTGGGTTGAACTCTGATTACAGTGAATGCAGAAACGTTTTACCATTTCTTGCTAAAAGAAAGTTGATGTACACCGCGACATTTCAAAGTTACCTGCTTCCTACGACTGTTCCCCCTGCCTCACAATTATGAATATTCACCAAAACCATGGAGAAAATGTAAATTCAACCCGTTTTGTTCGATTCTGAACTAAAGGGGCAAGAACATAATCAAAGGAAGACAAAGACTAAACAATAAATGGGAATTTTAGTGATCTGGCCTTTAATCATTTAGTTAAGGTCTGTCGTCCATATCGAAGGGAATCGCAGTGGCTCAGTGAATAAGCGTTTGCTCACAAACCAGGGGGTATCTGAGTAGCTCCCGTTGTTGAGCGAGAAAGTTTTCCCTGTCAGCAGTGCAGGGGGTAGGTCTTGGCAAGGATAGTGTCTAGTCGTTCGAGTCGGGCGAAAACCGAGGTCCCGGGAAGGCGAAATTCCCCTCATAACACTGATTGGCTTATGCTCATCTGCATTATCCCAATCGGTGCAGAAAGTAGGACGTTACACTCCTTTTCATTTCATTTCCATATTGACGATTATGCGTGTCATTCAGTTTATGTTTGAGACAGAGATTTTAATTACCGCAAGAGTTGGGTCTTAATACATGTAAAATTTTTGACGCATGCTGTTCTCGTGATAAAAATTGAACCATATGATAGTCCCGAAATGACCTAGTCTGTGTCGAGTGGACGTTAAAAAATGGATTTGCTAAGTCGGATTAAACGCCTTCCGGTGGTATCATTCCAAAAGATATTATAGATACCGGGACTTTTTTCAAGTTTGCGGGAGCCCTTTCGCCTTCATGGCAGGAACGGGCCTAAATAAAGCAAAATAACTTCTCGGAATTAATTACACAAGTCTTAAAAAGTAATATATATTCGATATTCAACAGATATGTATAATACAGCCAATAATATAATAGAACAAAATATAAATACTTGTTTAAACTCTGATCAATCATAACTAATTGATTAACTTTCAGAACGATTTTTTGTACATGTACATACAAATCCATAGAAATCAAAGCTGATAGATCTCAATACAGGAATGGAAAGTCCAAATTAGGTTTAGTGCTGACACTGCGCTGTACTATATTTTGTCGTAAAGTTGTCCTTTATTGTATATTAGATATGTATTGATCTTCTAGATGAGTATTCTTATTATATATAGATAAATACTATAATATGGAATCATTTCTTTGATTAGGTAGAAATGACTTATAAGCTTTCTGTCGTTTTTTTAATTCTTCTTTCAGCGTCTGGTATTCTTCCTTCGTATATTGTTTACTTTCTTTCGTCTGAATATAAAAATTACACCAAGCATGATAGTACTGTATTAAAAAAAAAACTATGGACCATTCACAATCATAGGGATTACTTTACTTGGGACTAATAATTATTCAGATCGACCAGTCTAGAGACTATGTAAGGTCACGGAGAGACTATGTAATTTCTGTTTTATTTCATTAATTCGTTGGCATCGCGAGGAAACCAGAGGACAAGTGACCCTACCTCCTGTCACATACATGCGGGGAATCGAAAACACGCGTTAAATCATTCCCCCCCCCCCCCAAGAAATTAAAAACATAGCTGTTTAAATCCTAAAGCCCTGTGATATGAGTACTGACCAATATGCTGTATCTAAGCTAGGTCACCAAATATTTTGACCAAAAAAAACCTCCATACCTTCTTTAATCTTTTTCTAAATCCAGGGCACGTTTTAGGCCGTAATGGTTTTGGTGTTCGGAAAACTTCTGAAAATGATGAAAAAAATAATAAAAAATATAATTTATTTTACATAAAATGGCAAATCGAACCAAAAGGAGTGTCTAGATAAATGCTAAAATTGAATTGGACTGGTGGTCGTCGTACAAATGGGATTTTTAACCCATCAATATCAGCTTGTTTATCGACAAGACAAGCTATCGATTGCTCAAATCCTTAATCAGAATCGATAATATAAACTTCCTCTTCAGGTACAACTCGTTAGCACAAGGAGATTTTATCATCACCAACCAGCCTCCGTGCCGTTATTATTATTAGTGGGATAGTACTGCGCATGCGTATTTTAAAACGGGTAGGCCTTAGTCACATTTATCTCTGAGGAGCTCCCTTTATGTAAGTAAACGCCACGTCTTTATAAGATCTCTTGCATCTACATCATCACACTGATCAGCAGTGAATATTCGCTAGGCTGCTACAATCACTGAGAGGAATGGCATCGGTTCGGTTTAATTAGCTCACAACAGTAACTTTTTCCTAGTAATAGAAAAATAAAGAAAGTTGTTTGAAGTGTATCTGGATAAAAAAAAATATTTTCTATTCCCTGTAAACGAGTTTATAAAATGAGTAAAGGGCACCATTCTGTCCGGACCAGTGTGTAAACAATGCACGCGCTATTGAGCCAATGATCGACGTTGCGTGATGTGACGTCACATGTAGAAGGCATTTGAACTTATACAGGTTAGTCATCTTATAATCTTATACATAGTTATGAGAAGGCTTTCGCAATACCCCTGTGAAACAGATTGCTACTTCATTACTATAATAGCCTTACACATGAACTCACCTTCGTCGTGGTTGTTATTATTTTGAGCATCGTGTTCATCATCTGACGTAGAATTAATGGTGGATGGGTTAATATCTAACAAACGTGGACTGAGGACAAACATAAAACATAAACAACAACAAATATGTTAGACTGGATGCAACATGGAAGCATTGGGTTGGGAACTGAACACTCAATCAGAATATTATAGGCCTACTTAGAAAGCAAAGTTGAATCGCTCTAAAGGAATAAAGTATTTTTGATAAACTAAATATTTTGGGGGAAGATTTGGGGAACATATTGGTTTTGGGAAACGTCTAACGACGAAGGGGTAGTGTAATTTTGAGGGGTCAATTTTGCTACACATACTTTCATCAACCAAAGATTGTTTACAGTGTTTCCTGCATGCAGATTGGATTATGGTAACATATAAAATATGGAATCATAAGCCGAATTAAATTATGTCGAAAGTTACTTGCATTGCACCAAACTGGAGTTATTGCCCATTTACTGGCGAAAATCTATGATTACTCGAAGGCCACTTAAAGAAAATCACGGAGGTCAATAACTACGAATGTGACAATAATCATGTCCCTCAACCCAAGTTCGTAATATTAGTAAATAACGAGGTTAAATAAACAAAATAATTAATGATAAACACACCAATTAAAACAAGGCTATTGTTAAACGTACAATGGTTGGTGATCGAATCTTGGTTATAATAATATATGTATTTGTATTTTCAAGAGAGGGCGGTACATTAACATCACATAAATAGTACAAAAGTCCGCGGGATAATCTTTGGCGGTTTTGTTTGGTTGGTTGGTAAGGGTAGTGGGGGGGGTATCATAGGTGGAGCCTCCCACCATTAGTAATTGTTTGTTGTTTTGGTGGAGGGTGCTGCGGTATTATAAATATCTAGTTGTTATACGAGTCTGACTGAAAAGTTCTACTGCCATCTGTGACAGACCTGTACAAAGTCGATGGTTTCTATTGATTTTTCTACACCCCTTCGAGGTGTACACTCTTTTGCTAACGATGCTGCAAGGTCTTGATGCCTGACAGGAAGACATTTTCTTCAGATAAAAAGTCGTTCACAGCTAACATGACGTCATCGTTACTAAGCAAATGACGACCGGCTAGTTCCTTTTTCATTTTTGGAAATAGGTCTCATCCATGGTTACAAATCTGGCAAAAAATATCAGGATCCGCTTCAAACCGGTGCAGATTGTCATGGGACGTCAGAAATCTGACACGTTTCTGATCCGCAGTTAAGAGTTTTGGTACCCATCTTTCAGACATCCTGGCAATATGTCGAGTGGTCAATCGTCGATCTGCCTTTACCATGTCATGCACCCGGGTAATATTTTCTTGAATGCTGATGGCCTTCCAGGACGCGGGTCATCGCCAAGGCCCTCTCTGCCACGCTTAAATTCCACAGCCCACTTCTTTACTGTGAAAAAGGAAGGGGCATCATCCCCGAAAGTGGAGACCATGTCGGCATGTATCTGTGTTGGGCTTAGTCCTTTCAGTTGCAGGTACTTGACGACTGTCCTATAGCCAGTTTTGTCCATTTCTGGTGATTTCAATGGATAGGTTCACAAGATGGTCTTAGAACTTTTCAGCCAGCCCTCGTACTTTTTATCCTTAGCAATTTATTTTCAGCGCTAAACCCCCTTTGTCCCATCTACCCCCATTTGAAAAGATTGAGCTTAGAGTAAATAAAAAGGTATCTATGAGTTTCAATAAAAATTGTTTCCCTAAACACACATGCTGACCTGAGTGGAAGATTCCCTTATTGTGGTATATACAGCCAAATTAATCCATTCAAACGATGAGGAGTGTTACATCGTTTACGCTTAGCAATGACTGTTAACTATAGCCTCATAGTTGTTAATGTCATGGTTAATTCACAAAAAAACCCAAATATTGTTATAGCTTTAAACATAAAAAAACAATAAAATATTATACATAGAAATACCTGTGTTTAATATTAGCAGGTTCAGTTTGAGCGTCGTCTTCCTTTCTATATGATGTAAATGCTACCGTTGTTTTCTCTCTAGGTCTAATAACTACTTTATTACCTGGTCGAGGTTTATGCTCTTCCTACAAAAAAATATATTATAATGTATACACTATTTTCTATTTCTAAGATTTTTTTTGTGAAGTAAATTTAGACCATAGGTGGCTAATCTATGGCACAAGTGGCAAACTGTACCATTCCAATTAGAACATTGGGGAATTCTAAGTGCCACATTGGCCCATTCCAAGAGGCACATAGCACATAATAATGATATGAAAACGAATTCTTAACAAAGTTGAGTCTAAATACCAAAACCTTAGCGAAATAAAAGCAGAATCAAAGGTCTCATAAAGCTAAATAATGTTTCTTGATATATGGCATATTAAAAGTCGTGCCGATAATTCTTGGCATAATAATATGGACCGTAAAAGGTTCGCACCTCCTACTTTAAGACATATTAAGGGTTTTTGTATGGGAAGACAAACTGAACAAAAAATTCATAGTAGTTTAATTGTTATTTCTCTCACCTCTACCTGATAGCGGTGTAATTTAACCATTCGTTTATTAGCCCGAGTTCCTTCATTAAACCCATTATGCCATTCCTGTATACGCCTTTCTAATAGGGTTAACGCCGAATCACTACACGCCCAGTCATATTCAGCTTCCGCTTGAGCATACATATCTCCAACACCAGCAAGGATAGAATCTGTGAATTCATCCGTCATACCATTTCTAGCCAATGAGATAGCATATTGGGATTCGTGTTCGGGACTAACTCCCTCGAGCGGCATTTCCTCTTCGATAATTGTGGGACCTCTAGCAGTGTTGTTATCTGTAACTTGTAGATAGTTTAGTTTACTTGAGCTTGAATACTTCTGAGATTGTAATTTTCGTGTACGGCGCTTATTTTCTCGCATACGAATGAGATAGAAAACACTGCCCGGTCCATACATATTAATTAAAGGTCCCTTTTGAATTCCGTCTGACCTAAGTTCGAATTCAGCTGGTTTGTCGTGCTGAACCGACGGAGCGTTTTTTAATTTTTCTTTTTTCTCTTTTTCGTCTAACGTGTATAAGAAGAATCTAAATAAAGGCAGAGTTTCTTCACTTAAACGTGAGAAGTGTAAAGTCAGTTTGTTATGGACTATATCTTTCATAATGTTCATGGAATGGGGGTGACGTTTCTCTAGCAGACGATCATAATTACTTTGGTCTAGTATAAAAACCGTGGCTTGTTCCGTACATATTATACTTTCACTATACGTTGGCAACCCTAGCACCATTTCTAAATCACCTGAAAGAAATTGGGATATTTTAAAATATTAAAGTCGCCGACCCCAATCCTGTAAATTTGGAACCATATCTAATTTTTCATAACTTAATCCACGCTAATATGTACTGATATTGATTAAATTGACCACAGATATCTAGCTCGAATGACAGTAAATTCTCTCGTTTCAACTGTTCGATTTGAATGTACTGGGAGTTTAACGTCTACTCGATACTAACTAGGTCATTTCCGGATAATTTGGTGCATTTCTTTTCTCAATATTATGCTTGCGCGTGGGGGTCTTTATTAGTAGAAAGACCCAGAGAGTTACAAACAAGAGATGGTTACAGATGCTATTATGTTGGATAAGACTTGCCTATGATGTTAATATATACTATTCAAAAAAAGTAGGGGATATTTGATTTTGGGGGCATAATACTAAAATATGCAAATGACTACGAAAAAAGTCACTATAGAACCTAACAGAAGAAACATTTCCAGTTACATGTGACGCCCAAACGCACCAATAGCTACCGCATGGAATGCAGGTGATGCTTGGGATCATCATGGGGGTCCAACCCAAGATTTGCACGACTCTGACTTTGAATGTTACAGTCATTGTGGCATTGAATTCCAGGGTGGAAACATCAGTTTAATTGTTTTAGTGACCAGAAAACAAATTTTGATATGCGTCGGCTTACCCAAAATGAAAGGTTACGTGCCCTTGGCATGCTACAGATCGGCACAACACAGGCGGTTGTGGCGCGGACGATGAATGTTTCTCAGTCTGTCATAAGCAGGCTATGGTCCAGATACCGTGATACACAATCTGTACAGGACAGACCACGCTCAGGTCGACCAAGGGCGACAACTCAAGCCCAGGATCGATTTATCCGTACCTTGGCCTTGAGAAATCGTGTCATCACAGCAAATCAGATCAGCGCTCGTCTTCAAACAGACACTGGTGTGAGAGTGAGTGGCCAGACGATTCGGAATCGACTGCATAGGGGTCACCTTCGCGCCCGACGTCCTCGCGTGATCCCTTGTTTGAGAGATCATCACATTCAGGCAAGACGTCGTTGGTGTAGGGATCGTCAACACTGGGATAATCGACGCTGGAGCAATGTGATGTTTTCAGATGAGTCAAGGTTCACTGTTGATTTTTTGGACAGACGTAGGAGGGTGTGGCGTCGTCGAAACGAGCGCTTCCAAGACGTTAACGTCATCAGACATGATCGATTTGGGGGTGGTTCTGTTATGGTGTGGGGAGGCATCACTGTTGCTGGAAGAACGGCTTTACATGTTGTTGCAGGGCGTGTTACAGGCCAGTACTACCGGGACAACATCTTGGCAGTCCATGTTGTGCCGTTCGCACGACGTCATGGCCGCCGTTTCATCTTCCAGGATGACAACGCAAGATGTCACAGGGCCAGGATCGTTACAGGTTACCTCCAACAACAGAACATCACCACATTACCTTGGCCAGCACTGAGTCCCGACCTCTCCCCCATCGAGCATGTCTGGGACATGCTTGGACAGAGGTTACGTCAACGTCAACAACGTCCTGCCAATGTCCAAGAACTTGCTGCTGCGTTGCAACAGGAATGGGACAATCTGGACCAAAATGACCTTAGACGTCTCATTAGGAGTATGCCACGTCGGATCAATGCTTGTTTGGCAAACAGAGGAGGATTTACCCGTTACTGACTTGGTTGTGATGCTGTGGTAACTTTGCTGTTTGACCCCGGGTATCATTTTACCCTTATAATGGTCAGTCTGTGCCTTACTTAGTCTAACGATCATTTGGAATAAATCGATGAATGTGAACTTCATTTCATTTTGTCATTTGTTTCTTCGTCAGTTTCATTAGGTGACTTTAATAACACTTAAAAATCAAATATCCCCTACTTTTTTTGAATAGTATAGTACAGAGGTTATTCTGTAGGGTAAGACTTACCTATAATGTCAATAGTACAAAGGTTATTCTGTAGGGTAAGACTTACCTATAATGTCAATACATGTAGTACAGACGCTATTCTGTTGGGTAAGACTTGCCTATAATGTCAATTGTACGAAGGTTATTCTGTTGGGTAAAACTTACCTATAATGTCAATAGCTCCCATCAAACACAACTCTAAATGTTTATTACCATGTTTCTTACTTTCTTGATTAGTTTGACGTTTTTGGTAAGTTGTTACTTTCTTGTCTGTAAACCTTTTCTTTTCTAAATTCATCTCTCTAATGTACAAGAATATAATGCATAACACCGTATAAAGAGGGTTATATCAATTTAAAGAAGAATTTCATAACGTAAAGGGCCTTGCCACTTTCACCTAGAAAATATATCATTAATTAAATCTTAAGCTGAAAATGCTGGGTTGAAGGGCGTTTTGTTTTATTAGGGGGATTCTGGTAAATTATTCAGTCCACTTACTTTCGTAAAAGGTCTCTTGCTTTTTCTTTCTCAAGATCAGCTATATCATGTGTTGGAAAATGTGTTGGATATTGAGATCTATGTTGAGACGGATCCATAACAACTTTAACTTGGCCGCTGAAAATAACATTAAAAATGTATGGGATCCCAAACGTTTTTTCTTGGGCAGGGATACTGGAACGTGAGTTAGTTGAGCGATATTATTATTCTCAGCAAGAATAATCGAGGATTTTATGGCAGATATCACAAATTACCGAAAATCCACGAATTAATCTATTCAGAGTAGCGTATATTGTGCAAAGCCACTAAAGATATGTACGAAAACGCCTGTATCTCAGTAATGTCTTTACAAATTTCTACCAAACTTTATACGCACTCTATTTGCGGTATCCTTACTTTAACTTTATTGTTAAATCATGTCCAAAAAAATCATATTTTTACCAACAGTGATGATACCCAAAGTAATTAATAGCGCCGTTTTAATGTAGGCTGAAAGTGCAATTAAGTCAATTCGTGAATCAAAATTGAGGATAAACCAAATCAGACATCTGAATCTTCCACAATTATAAGTAATTGGTGCTATCAGTTCCCCACCAATGGTCTCTTGTGAAAATTATTTCCTTGCCAATACATCTCTTTATCAGTAGAAATTAAACCAAATTGCCACAATTTCCGTAATTAGCCAATTTACAGTCAATGGATTAGTGGGTGTAATTGAAAATGTTCTCAATGGACTAAAGATAAATTTGTTTATGTTGAACGTGTTCTGTTTGTGTTTTCTTTCGGTATTTTTCTTTGTCGGCTATGGCAACACAGTGGGTGGAGGCTACAAGTCTAGAAAAAAAAGAGTCGAGGAAAACCACAAAGCGGTTAGGAAGGTAAATGAAGGTAAGAACTCGACAATACGTTCTCTGTCCGGATACCGGAGTAATGAGATCTAAAAAACAAAACGAGCGACTATGCCTGTTGGACGTTAAAAGTTGGTGTGAAGCATTGGGGACATGAAGGGATGAACCCTATCGATATTCAGCGTTTTGTGACTTTCCATTTCAGAGTTATCGCCCCTAAATAAAAAATATACCATATCTTGTTAACAATAAGGTATAGTTAGTGTCGAGTGGATATTAATATAAATTATAAAGTTGCTACGTCTGTATAATACCTGATGATAAAAATTAAGCCATCTACTGGAGTTCCTTGTTTTACTATCAGATCTTCAAATTTAAATATATCTTTCTTTAAACTCATAGCCATCATGTTCTTATATCTAAATGGCATGGAGTGGAATAAAGGCAGAGAATTAACAAATCTCTGTTTCTCCTCAAAAGCTTGTGACTGATGAGATCTTAATGACCGATTATAGAGGTCTTTACGTACAACTAGTAAGTCGCACACTTCTGTTGATATAATACTGGCGTTTCTAACACAGTCATTGTTGATAAGAGCCAATTCACCAAAACTTTTACCAGCCTCTGAAATAATCAAATACACGTATTTTTAGAATTAAAAACAATCCAATCGTTTAGCACCTACGGTCCCCAATTTTCCGAAATGCGCTGTTGATAACGTTGGTTTTGGCCTTCAGTCGGTAGAAAATGTTCTTTATTCCACCACGTCCATAACCTTCTAGTTCAAGTACCGATGTGTCATTTGTAGTTTTCACTATAATATCAAATTTCTCATGGCGTAATCCACGCTCATATGTACCCAGATTAATTATTAAACATTTAATTAAGAAAATAAAACCAAAATACCAACGCTAGATAATGTCTCGGCTTGGATTCAATCGGATTAAAAGAAAAGGCCCTACCAATTTTGTTGGCCATAATAAAATGACAGAGGGCTTATTACGTAGCGAAAAGCATAGATCGGTGATATTTCAATTCAACACCTCTTTGTAAATACTGAATGGTATAGATCCATTTTGGGCCTATATTCATACATGTATATATTAGTGATTCATCTTTCAAAGTATTTTAGTTTTCAAGGGATTCATATTGCACTAAAACAACTATAAAAACAAATCCACTAAAGCTTATTGGTGGCGTATCCCATAACGATTGAGAACCTTCCACGTGATCCCTTTTGGATTAATAGCGTGGAAAAACGAACAAAAACAATATTGGGATAACATTTTTAATAGTTTTAATCCTACGAGGTGTTCCCATTGTTGTAAATACATCACCACCTCCCAGTTTACAAAATGTGTCCATCCTATCCGCGTACTGGTCACGATATCAAAATAAAGAAATGAAATGTGGTTTAATGTCCTACTTTTCTGTGCTACTGAAGACGGGTCAAAATAAAGACTTATTTACCTATCACACCAAGGAAGTTTCCATATTTAGTTCTATCTATGGGTCTAATTTCTGGCCCATCCCTTAATACAGCTGCTTCCTCGTCTAACTGTTTCTTTTTAACCAGACTAAATTCTTCATCTGATAAAGTTGTGTTGATGTGAATGGATACCGAACCCGTTAAAATGATGTAAAAGCTGAAAATATATATAATGCAAAACGAATTGATGAAAAAAGCTGAAAACGAAAGCTTAATACATATAGAGAATCTCCTACGAGTCTTTTATGCTATGAGGGCTTCTTATCAAGTATTTCATTTACAGCCACGTCCCCTGCACCTCTATCATCCACGTTGCTGCCAGGCTGGAACAAACTTCCTGGCCATAAGCTTGCTACGCTGTTACGACCTTTATATAGGGAAGATACTGAGCCTCGTCCATCAGCTCCAGTCTAGCACCCACAGAGGAAACCTCAAGAAAACTATGCAATGTTCTTGATTGCTTGACTATTGGTTGTTTTCTGCTTTGAAAGTGAATGAGGACGGATGAGCATGGCACAGTCTCTATAGGCGTGACGAGAGAACGACTTATGCTTGGTAGGCATGTCACTGGAGTGTGGTGAGAAAGTATCCAGGTCTGACTGGTAACCGTGAGATCATGGTGGGAACACTTTTCGCGCAGTTAGATCTTGGCAATGAGCGTAGAAAGATCTTGTAGTAAGCGCTTGGTGTGGTCGTTGCAGGCGCATGATGGGCACGTGGCGTAAGCACCACGCTGCAGCTATGCTCCTTTTGCCTTCATGCCAGGAATAGGCTTTACTTTCCCAGGAAATCGATGATAAATAAATGCTAATAATGTGTTTAGAAAACGTTCCACCATCTTGGAAATATGCTAAATTCATGAATATACGACCATTTTACGTAGTTGTATATGACAGAAATCGAATCTGCCTCCCCGAAAACATATATATTGTCAACAAAGACAACTACTTAAACGAAATCAACCCATCGTCCGATTTTCCCGCCACAAGTGGCAGCAATGTTGGAAATATACTAAATAATATTATGTGAACATGTGATCATTTTACAAGGTTGTAAATGTCAGAAATTGATTCTGCGCCCCCGTAAACATATATATTGACACCAAACACTACCACTTAATCCAAATCTGCACATCGTCTCATTTTCCCGCCAAAAACGCCCGCCATCTTGGTAATATGTTAAGTATATGAACATGTGATCATTTTACAAGGTTTTAAATGTCAGGAATGGAATTTGCGGCCCCGAAAACATATATATTGACACCAAACACTACTACTTAATCGAAATCAGCACGTCGACCGATTTTCCCGCTAAAAATGGGCGCCATCTTGGAAATATCATCATGAAATGATGGAAAACAATCTGAGATATAGTCATGAATGCCGCCAATATTAATACATTGCCAAATCACAGTTGATAAAGCTTATTCCACGATTTCTACCCGAAAAGCCGACGGTTTTACATTAACGATCGGACTATTAAGATAAATAATTAGTTCAACAGGTCACAAGGCCATACTTATTGATATGCATCTTTTTTCAAAGATAGACTTTATTTCGCTCTGCTCTGAAAAAATTGCGCAACTTCAATCAGAAGCGGTGTGGCAGATAATTATAACCATTGCTTGTTTGTTAGACACTGATTATTGCTTGATAAAAACAACTGGATGGACTAGCCGCGTTACCCGGAGCTGCATGGTTTGAGTATATCTCAATGTTTGTGACATGCATAATAACGCAATAATCATAAATTTTCGATTTCATCATTACATACTACTGCACCAAATACAAAAACAAATTTCGCCATTAGATTTCTTACAAATCAAGTTGTTATTATGAAGTTATTTAAACACGCTATCTTTCCATATTAAAGGCGTTAACATATTGTACAAGGTGGATAACTCTCACTACCCACGAATATATTTTAAAACTCGTACTATGTTAACACTATTTGAGCGATGAACCTGCAACTGGTCAATAACTAGTATATGTCAATTTCATCATTAAATACCGATTCAAATACGAAATAAATAGCACTAGTAAATTGTTATTATAAAGTTATTTTAAAATGTATAAATTCAATAGTTTGGTTTCCCATAACGAACAAACAAATATATATCGATAAAAGATAAATAACGGCGATGAATTAAACAGTAAAGTTGTGAAATATATTCTGTAGATACATTTTGAAGCAAACAAATTAGTTTGCAGTGTGTTGACAAATTAGAGATCTGAGGTAAGCAGCATCGGGCGTATATATAGGAGAAAATAATAATATATTATTGTCCTACTTACCAATCACCCTTTTCACCTTGTCTAATAACCACAGAATCTTTTTTACATGTCATAAACTCACAATTCTTTACTATATCTTTTAATACCTCTAATGACAAAAACAATATATTTTATAACCCAATATTTTGAAGTCTTTATAATATGGATATGTTAGGACACTGACTGGATCTAGTTTAATTAGGCCTACTACCTAATTAATTGTCAAATGCTGTGTCGATATAACAAATGACATTGGGGGAAAAAAGATATATTGTTGCTTATAGGCCTACAACCTAATTAATTGTTACAGGCTGTGTCAATATAACAAATGAAATTGCAAAAAAGATATAATTGTCGCTTATATCGATTTTACTATCAAAACAACATAAATATTCCTAGTCGCTGCCATTGGATTGCTGGATTACCATATTGTTTCACTGAATGTTTTTATACTAACCTACCCACCCGAACCTAACCTATAGGCACCGAACTTCTGGAAACTGAGCCAATAGACCCGATTCCGCTGGCATCAATGTGATGAAATTCGACTTCATTTGAACCACAATTACTAAATGCCTATCAAAGACGACACAACTAATTCATTCGACTGATAATTTATTTGGTAACGTATTAGTATCAATTTATTCTGTGTTGAAATCCGGCAATTGTCATCTGCCATAATGATACTACTGATTATACGAAGACGAGTAAATTAAATTTAAGTCGATTGGAAGACAATTTGTTCCATCTGGGGGCCCTACTTCATTCATTTGTCAGATGTTATCGAAAACCGAGCTTTATTTAAGAAAACGACAACTGTATGATAAGATACCCCATTTTCTAGTGCAGTTTGAAAGACCACATAAACACACTTCATAAAGTGTTATATTTACTGCAATCCATGATGAAAGGTGTATTCTTTGGACTGTACTATAGTAAACATACATTCCGGTTGTTCATTTGAATTATTACACTTTTCAATTTCGAATATTATAGATAATATCAAGTTAGAGGTCTAGCTCCTTTAATATAGCACTTTTTGTAAGTTAGTATCAATTTTGGTATCCGGTAATATTCACTAGAAACGAAGAAAAATGTTTTTTAAAAAAAAACTCACCAGAATGAAGATATTTAAATGAATCTGATTTCTTTCTGAACCAAGGTAGAATTTGTTCTATTTCTGCATCCGGGCGTTTATCCGGTGGTTGAATTAGTAGTGATATGACTGTATCATAAAGGTGAGCCATAGCACCCCAGGATCGTGCACCTGAAATGGTTGATTTACCTTGCTTAACCATCGTTCGAGGGAAATCTGAACACTTAGCAGATAAAGTCCGGAATCTATACCCTTACATATAAAGTATTCTGAACTTATAGACACGTTTCCACGGTCAACATTTCATTCCGGAAACGCCCACGTCTTTGAGTTCAACGGTAGCACAATAAGTATCTTACAGTCTTGTCAGATGAGTTGGCCATTTCTATCAAAATGTCGTTCATTGTCAGTTACACTCTTGGGTTCTAAAATGTCTTCTAAATTTCCCGTATTATTAAGTATATATCCTAACAACTCTGATACCTTATAAAGGAAACGTATACATCCACTTGTAATGAAGTGGAATGGGTTTTACGTCCTACTTTTCTGCACCAACCGGGATAATTTATCCCTTCCTTGTGTTACTAGTCAAAGTTTCTTCACGGTGAGGCCCGTCTTTCTACAGTCAACTTTGTCATCGCTGGAATAAAAGTTATAATGTTCATGGCACCATTTGATGAAAATGTCACAAATGAACGAAGCAAATGTCCGTTGGTCAAAGATCACAGCGGGACAAGAATAGTTCTAAATCTGTACAACCAATAATGGGAACTAAACAAACGGATCTTAAGGAATCGATTGGATGATTATGATATGACTTAAGTAGGGTTAATATTCTATTTCCGGTAGATACACGGTATTAAAGTGATCCAAAAATACTACTTTAGATTTTGACCACCGCATAGACATCGATTTTTAATTTTGTTAAGATTATTTTCGTATTTTGATCTGACAATATTATTATAAAAATCTATATCTTGTTCCATGAAGATAGTATTAAATTTAGTAGCTACACCCATGGACTCTATACTATCTATTACAAGGTCCATGGATTCTCTGGTACCATATTTATATCTACCCCTAATATATTTACACCCTATAAACTCAATCATTCCGGAGATATGGAGGGTTAAGGTGCCAATAGCAGCCGTATTGGATTTATGCTAATTACTCGAAAACCTATCTTTTTATTTTGGATTTATGCTAATTGTTGCTCGTATGACTTATGACGTCACAAGGTCGTCACCTGGCATTTTTTTTCTAGTTCTTTGGTAGCACTTTCCTGTCTACTCGTAATACATTTACATCCTCCAAACTCAACCAATCCCGAGATATCGGAGTTTTAAGTTTCAATGGCGGCCATATTGGATTTATGCTAATTGTTGGCCGTATGACGTGACAGGGACGTCATTTAGCTATGTTTTTTGAGTCATCTGTACCACTTTCCTATCTATCCGTAATACATTTACACCCTCCAAACTCAACCATTCCCGAGATATTGGAGTTTTATGGTGCCAATGGTGGCTATATTGGATTTATGCTGATTACTCGAAAACCTATCTTTTTATTTTGGGCGATTTTTGTTTAGGGGACCTTCAGGGATCCCTCTACCAGATTCCGTCGAGATAATCCGACTGCAATTTGTTCTAGGTGATTTATTATATTTACCGGACTATAAGCAAGGCAATTAGTGTTACTCTCAATTTTTTGGCATCACCTTAGTATATTGGGTGGCCTAGAAAACAACAGTACACTATTTAAAGTGGGCTAATTCAAACGACACGTGAACTGTAAATGGTATAGGTACAACACTTTTTGAATTATTGCACTTTATTCAATTTCTTAGATGACCTTAGTATATACTTGATTTTATATCATGGCCTTACTATACTTGATTTTGTATCATTACCTTAGTATACTTGATTTTATATCATCGTTTTAGTATATACTTGATTTTATATCATCACCTTAGTATATACCCGATTGTATATCCTCACCTTGTACTTGATTTTATATCCTCACCTTAGCGTATACCTAATTTTATATCATCACCTTATTCTTCATTTTATATCATCACCTTATTCTTCATTTTATATCATCACCTTATATTTGATTTATATCACCATCTTAGTATAGGCCTATACTTATTTTTATATAAATTGATAGCTTAGTATATATACTCATGCCATTCTCAAAACGACCCATATAATTAATATCACCTTAACAAGGCCCCACAATTATTTTTTTATAAAACACATTCAATTTTACATTGTCACCTTAGTATATACTCAAAATATAAGCTCTAAGCGCGCGTTTACTTACTGTGGTTACCAAGTAATTTCTCCATTTTTTTTCTTCTGGTCAATATACTATATACAATAAATATATGAAATAATCGATATCTGTTTATCACGTAAAGCACTTAGTTATCACTCAATTAGTTCAATAAATCGCCCTTTTTTCGATTAGTCTTACACACTTTCTTATTCGTCACAAACAGGTTGCATTTAAACATTTGTCAAAAATAGTCTATAACCATTTCACAATTCAAACAGACTTTATCCTGTATATGTTCCACAGAAAGGTGAAATAATTTGGTGATATAATATCGCATTATATACAGAATCTACACGCGAAATTGTTTAAATTATTTTCCTCGCTTAAAATAATGACGTCTTTGTGATGATTCCTTCTAAACAATTAAGTCTTGTATTCTCAGTTCAACGGAGATTGAAAATAAATGTTTTGTCAATTACCGAGCTTTGAATATCACTTCGGTTAAAACATATAAATTAGTATGCGCGACTGTATCTCCATAGGTGAACGTCGTGCAAGAATTTCACGATCGGCATCCACTATGCTGTTTATCGTAAAGACCAACCTTGTCCTTACAAAACCATATCATCCATTTATGACACATTAAACCCCAATTCACCTCTCTCACTGATCGAAAATAATTTGTGAAGCCAACTGAATCAATTGATTAGTATCCAAAAAATCATTGTAATATCCTGTATAGTATAGACTTGAGTTGTTTGTGTCCTCACTTCACTCTGGTGAAAGATTAATCCCTTAATCGGCTCGGGCTACAATTGTAATCCCTCGACGTCGACCTGTTACACAAGCCTATCACTACACTATACCCAAACCCAATAATTTAGTCTCGATTTTTGATATGTTTCTGAAGACAATGTTCTAAACAGGACATTTTTCTGACAAAAAAATTATTTGCTTGGTTTCACGCTAGACTTAGATTAAAGACCACTATCCAATCGCATTTAATGACAATCAGAGTCTAATCAATCATATTATGTCTAGGTTTCTTTTGCTGATCAATCTATTATCGATACATTTATAAAGGTGGCAATTTTTACAGACAATGACATCGTTATGAGCCATTATTTGCAAGAACACAGGTCTAAAAAGAATGCCTAATTTCAATAAAATGAAATTGACAATAATTTGCAATTTACTGAAATGTAATATATAATGTTGAAGAGGGTACATAACAAGACAGTTCTTGTTTTTGTTCTAAACATCTTGCTTATCCTGACGAGCTATTATCAGTTTGACTAGCCCGTGAGAAATATTGTTTTTGATAATGGCATAACCGAGTCTATAACATTTATCAATATGGCGTTATGTGTAGCCGCGAATTACAGCATCATATTTTGTCATTTGCATGAATATATTGTGTTCGCTTTTCACTATATTTGACTGTAAATGTAGATTCAGCTCAATCGAAAAGTAAACACCAAGCCGATTTGTGACCCCTTAAAAATGTAAAGGGGTTTAACGTCCAAATATTCTGCTTTTAAAAAAAAAGAAAGCCGGTACATATCATGTTTATTGAATTTCTCTTAAAACAGTTAATCAGAAATGAAATTGCGTTTAACGTCCTGTTTTTGTGCACTAATAGGGCTAACGACGACGGTCACATACAATGTAGTGTCCTATAAGGAAAACCCAATTGCCAAGGGATCTTCTGCGTATACGCCAACGTGCGCACAGGGCCTAGTTGTTTTTTTTATCTCACGCGAAAAACTACCCACTGTCCTTGGGCAGGACCGAATCAGGAACCGCGTGGTTAGTGATTCAAGGTCTTACTTACTGAGCTACCGTGGTTCCCAGTTAATCGGAAGGCTGAGGGCGTGTTTGATTGAATTCAATCCGAACAAAGTTGGATTCGATTTAAATCAGCGAAACGTACTTATTTCTGGTCAAAGTTGAAATATCTATTCCTGTCTGATTTATCACTTTATCGATATAAGGTATAATACAGAATATCAAGGACCGATATACAGCGATCTTCAAATGTGAAATTAATCAGGAACCCAGATTCGAATACTGATCAGCTAAGGGGTGATGATTGCTCAACTCAAAACTACATTTTTTCGCAATTCAGAAACAGCTCTGAGAGTTTCTTACAGATTTTAAAAACCGAATCCAGATCTTTGAATAGTGTGGACTATTTGGATTGAAAATGAAAAATGGTGTAATTAACAGAGAGTGTTTGCGTTCCATTAAATTGGGAATTTAAAGGATCTAGATTTAGATTCAAAACAACTCGCCTGCAAACATAACATTCGGCTGTGTCTTGTCTCCAGATTACCATTAAACACGATTATAGTATGACGTCTTGTTCACTATATTGTAATAATGTATTGTTTTTCTTCAGGTAAACGAGGAAGGTTTAAATGCAGTAAGCGGATTATGCTATAACCTAAATAACAGCTATGAAATATTTCTCAATATAAGTAATGACTAATGATTATTATTAGTATACATATGGCGCCTCTATATATAGTACATGTATATGTCATCATAAAACACCTACTGTTTGTTAAACTGATTTACACAAATTATTTATTCATTTAAATATCAAATAAATGTAAGTGTCAAATGTGTGAAAGCACAGGGTTTATGGTGCGACGGGGGTATGCCTAATCAGCATTCTATAGACCGGAGTTCTGTGAACACCGAGTGCCTAATCTGAACAAAGACTTGTGTCATATCTTAAGAAACAAAAGTCCTGAAAAGATCCCAAGATTTGTTCAACCTACAATTATCAATTATTTTTGGACCAGGAACTGCGTAACTCATCTAAATTGCCCATTTAATTTTAAATGGATTGAAGATAAAACGATTTGTTTGAATTTATTGTGTTCATT